CCATTTAATGCTTGAATTCCAAGTTTTTTAATATCTTCATGATACATTAATTAACTATTTTCTGGAATAGCTCATTCCACCTTTAGATTTTACTAATTATTTGCATAACCATTGTTAAGTCTTCGATTGAATTTGATCTCGGTATTTTCTACCCACTGGTTCTTGTTCTAGTCTTTTCTTTCTCTGAGACATGGTTTCTAAATGTTAAGCATTTTAAGTGACATTGAAAATTCTTCATATTCCATCGTATAATTCTTCATATATTCTATCATATAATATATGCGCTCTTTCTCCTGGCCTCTCTCTTCTGAACATAATTCAGGCTTTATAAATCGTAATTCAGGCTTTATAAATCCCTGGTAAAAGTGAGATGTATAGAACTGACTGTCCAGGAGATTTTTTGATTCGTGTTCTAAACGCTGTGCTTTGATAGCCTGACTAAGAGGACTTTTGCTGTTTTGGTAGCAAATCCCACAACTTCAAGTGGAATTAATGATCCCCATTTTACGTATGAAAAGTAAAGAGGCACTGGTTCTTCACAGTAGAATACCCATTTGACTTGTCTGTGTTCTGTAGTAGCTTTCTCTGTAAGTGTTACTTTCCATAGGAAAATCTTCCCTATACCAAGTTACATGCTTCCAGTTTAAATAATTAATTTCTCCTTTGGCTGGTTTCTCATCACATCCACTCATTCATCAAGTGTATATTGCACTTGGGTGTACTTGGCTCTGAGCTGGGCATGAGGTCAGCTTCAGAGGCATTCATAAAATAGTGTCCTTTTTATTACAATATAATGATTGCTATAAAGAAGCATATATAAAGTTAGTAATAAATGGTAATAAATTATTTATCTCTGCTTTGAGGAAACCGAGAGGGTGGGACATTTCATGTGAAGAATGTAGGAATGGCCGACCTGAGAAGGCATGGAAGGGCATTCCAGGCCTAGGGACCTGCATAGACAAAGCAATTGAGGTACAGTAACTTGAGGAGTTACACACATTGAGGTTCCTCTTTTACATACCTCCTATTTGAATTTTTACCTTTCTTTTTTTGTTTGTTTTTGGATATTTCTGTTTGCTGTGTCTCTTTCTTTGGAAAGTACTTGCAGGATCAGCTGTTTTTGAAGACGTTAGAAAATACAGACGGGAACATTTTCCTCATTTTTTAAAATGGATTAACATATGGAGGAAGTGGGATAATTTTGATTTTGTCTTAGTCAAAATAGCCTATTTTAAATATTTTGTTGGCTGGGCATGGTGGCTTACGCCTGTAATCCCAGCACATTGGGAGGCTGAGGCAGGATCATGGCTTGAAGCCAGGAGTTGCAGAATAGACCAGGCAACATAACGAGACTCCCATCTCCACCAGAAAATAAAAGCTGGGCATGGTGGTGCGCCTTTGGTCCCAGGTACTTGGGAGGCTGAGGCAGGAGGATTGCTTGAGCCCGAGAGGTCAAGGCTGCAGTGAGCCAAGATCGTGCCACTGTACTCTAGCCTGGGCGAAAGAGTGAGAACTTGTATCAAAAAAAAAAAAAAAAAAAAGATTTTGTAAATGTTCTTTACTAATGGAATAGACACAGTAGGGAGGGGTAGCTTGTGTCCATTACATGAATGCAACAAAATGAATATTAAACTGGACTCAATGGGGCCATTGGCGAGGGCCTTGTGGAGACGCTGATGGAGATGGGCAGCGTCGCAGGATTGACAAAGCCTGTCAATGCAGTTTCATGTTGATGAAAATAAAGCCTGGGCCAGGCACAGTGGTTCATGCCTGTAATCCCAGCACTTTGCGAGGCTGAGGCAGGCAGATCACCTGCAGTCAGGAATTTGAGACCAGCCTGGCCAACATGACGAAACCCTCATCTCTACTAAAAATACAAAAATTAACTGGGCATGGTGGTGCACGCCTGTAATCCCAGCTACTTGGGAGGCAGGAGAATCGCTTGGACTCGGGAGGTGGAGGCTCAGTGAGCCGAGATTGCACCACTGCACTCCAGCCTGGTTGACAGAACGAGACTCTATCTAAAAAAAAAAAAAAAAAAAAAAAAAAAGAAAGAAAAGAAAAGCCTGCGTGAAAAGCCTTAGCATTAACACTCCTGGCAGCAACAGCTGCCTCGCCTGCCTCTGCTTTCGCAGCTGCTTTATGTAGGTGACAGGCGGATGGGAGAACAATTGAGCTTTTCTTCTGGTTGAATTTGAGTTTCCTCTTTCATTTGTGGGTTATTGTTTGAAAAGAAGTGTACCCACATTCTCTGCTCTGTCAGCATCTTCCTTCCCAAGTTTTGAAGCGTGCCACAGATTGCTAGGAGACAGCTGAAATTTTTAAAGCTTTTTATTATGTGTGCTTAAAGATGGGGTAGAGATGCTCCTTGATGAGGGAAAGGTGCTTTGGCGTTTGGCAAGAGGAGATCATGCCTGCTCCCCTGACCTTCCCGCAGCTCCTCGAGGCTGGTATGCAGGGGGAGTATGAGTTTTCCCTGCTCCTCTCTGTGGCTTATTTTGTAGAAAAATCATGCATTCTTGTGGAAGTGACTGACACTGACAGTTCTGTCAATCAAGGAAAATGACCAAGGCAAGTCTCAATCATTTCAGGACATTTATTTGCGAAAGTTAAGGATGGGCGCCCGGGAGACAGGTCTATGCCTTTCTCCTAAGATGATTTTGAGGTCTTCAGTATTTACAGGGGAAAGGGCAGGATATTAAGAAATAGGCAGTTTTCATGTGAGAGGTGGGTAAATAGTCATTCATGCCTTTGTCTGGCTCGGTGGATCTGCATTTTTACATTAGGTAATGTAGACAGCAGGGCAGAGGAAACAATCAGATATGCATTTGTTTCAGGCGGGCAAAGAGACGACTCTGAGTTCCGTCCTATGTCCCCCGCACCTGTGAAGATAAGCTATTAATTTACATTACCATGTTGAACTTTAATAGAAATGCTGTAGGGTAAAGAGCTTGGGGCTCACAGGAGTTTCCTTGTGGGCAAAATATGAGGGAGGTATGCAGCTTTTCATCTTTGTTGCCATCTTATTTAGGAACCCAAATGGGAGGCAGGCTTGTGTGAGCCAGCTGCCAGCTTGACTCTTCCCTTTGGCTTAGTGAGTCTGGGGTCCCAAGATTTATTTTCCTCTCACAGTTCCATTGCAAAAAGTGCAAAGTTCACAGTGATGGGAAGCATAGAGAAGGTACAGCTTCAGCGGCTTACGGAACCACTGTCTGACATTTGAAACGATGGCGTATATTCCTGGAGGGGGTGAAGGAATGTCTTGTGTTCTTGTGATGCGCAAGGAGGGAAAGGGAGCTAGCATTTATTAAACTCCTACCGTGTGCCGTGAACGCTTTCGTTTAATTCTCACAGCGACCTTCAGATTGAGTATTGTGACCTTTTAAAAATGAGAGCTTGGGTTGGGAGAGAAAAAATGATTTGCTAAGATTATGCAGGAGTGACTGGAAGACCCCAGCCCTGGCTTCCTCAGGGTCACAGGCTTCTACCTCCCCACCATGCTGCACTGACTTCTTGGGGGGACGAATGTGTGTTGACTGGCTCACCCCCCTATCTTCTCACTCTTCTTATACTGCCAGGAGTGGGTTGTGTTGTCAGATGATTGGCCCAAATTATGATGCAGTCATAGTCAAGAGCGTGAGCCACAGGGAATAGAGGCGTCAGGCATGGCCTGGTTAGCAACGTGCTCCCTAAGTCATGGCTGGAAGACACCACGTATTTCTCTGCTGGCCTGTGTCTACTCACCGTGCTGCTGACAACTCTATTGTGTCCAAAATCGCACTTTCCTGACCATTCCTGGAGTCGTTTTTGATAACCACAGGCAGCAGGAATATAAAGGCACAGTTGCCCTCTTCCTCCTATGCAGTTTGGTCCAGGAACAGAGACAACTTTCTCAACTGATGTTTTTGTTTTCTTTTCTCCTTTTCTGGAAATCACCCTCAGGTCTCGCCCTGCATATGCAAGCTTTTCTTTTCCTTTGGAGGGAAGCGGGAAATTCTCCTATCCTGATGGATTCAGCCAGAGATGGCTTCTTTTTCTTAAGTTCTTCCTTATCAGAATTTTCCCAGCAGGAGGTAGTGGTTCATGATGGATGCGTTGGTTTCCTCACATCTGGAAGATAACCAGTGGGGACTGCCCCAGCCGTGGTTTGGTGTGTGTGGAGCCTCTCTGTGGCTGCCACCACGTGGTGTCTCCCCATTTCACATCTGTGTGAGGTGGCTTGGACATATTGAGGTACTGGAGACCAGCAGCACCTCCTGGACTAGCTCCTTCCAGAGTCTCTGCTGGCTAAGAGGCAAACTGGGGGAGTCATGCTGGACTTGGAATAGAGACTTGTCCCTGTTCCAGTTGGGACAAGCTTTGAGAAACACCCACACCCCAAGGCAGGCAGTGGTCAAAAGGGGAGAATGATTCACTGTCAGCATCCCTATTAGCCAAACTGTCCCGACCCGGGGGTCGATCACTTGGTTAGTATAATAGTTTTTTACTCTGTTAAGCAAAGGTCCCCACATTAAAACCTGTTCTCAGTGAAATCTTAGACTCGGATGCTGATCCCGCAGCCACCCTCTGCCTCCCAGCACGGGCGGAATGATCTTGGATGCATTTATTCTTGCCCCTTGCACGGTTGGAGTAAAGTGCTTATGAAAACATCTCTTTATTGATTCTGCGTGCTTTTTAAAATTCCATTTTCAAGAGTGAGAACAGAGAACGTGTGATGTGACCAAAGGTCTCCTGCTGGTGTGGAAAGGTAGCAGGCTGCCTCTGCAGCTTTGCCCAGAAGCTGGTGTCCTGGACTACTGCTTCTCAACACTCCCGAGGAGCTCCCTTTGGCTGTAATCACCCACTGGCCTCCTCTGTATGAACAGCAGGGGTGAAACTCTTGATGTTACTTCTTCCTCCATTGAATAAGCCAGATTCTCTTTCTTCTGAGGAATAATTGAAGTCTTTTGCAGTGTATGTAAGCAAAATTACCTAACACTCTGAAATTTTTCGTACAACAGTTTCATCTGGAAAAGAGGCCATTGAAACCATGCATTTGTGTTCAAGTAAGAAAGTATATCCAAGTCACAAAGAAGCATCATTTGGCTTTTGGAGACATGGGCAGCTTCATTTCTCATTTGTTCAATCAGAACTCTCCGCTAGGCTTCTAAGTGCCACATCCTGTCCAGAATGATGAAAGATACAGAAAATGGTGCCTGCTGACCTTCTGGAGTTATTGACTAGTGAGAAAGGTGAGTGGTATTCCAAGGTTTGTATCAGGAATTAATAAAATACAATCCCAATAATTAAAGTGATACAGTACAATATGGGGTGCTGTGAGTAGTGATAAGGAAATGAGGATTAAAGGTAAGGAAGAGTTAGCTGAGCAGAGAGAGAAAGAAGAAAGCAAAACTGGGAAAGAGCAGGAGGGTCAAGAACTGAAAGGGGGTTGGGTACAGTGGCTCATGGCTCTATTTCCAGCACTTTGGGAGATGGAGATAGGCAGATCCCTTGAACTCAGAAGTTCGAGACCAGCCTGGGTAACATAGCAAAACCTCATCTCTACAAAAAATACAAAAATTCACTAGGTGTGGTGGTGCATGCCTGTTGTCCCAGCTACTTGGGAGGCTGAAGCAGGAGGGTCACTTAACCCTGGGAGGTGGAGGTTGCAGTGAATCAAGATGGTGCCTCCTCACTCTGGCCTGGGTGACAGAGTGAGACCCTGTCTCAAAAAAGCAAAGCAAAGCAAAGCAGAACAAAAGCTCCACACAGCTGAAAGGGAACAAGGATATCCTGATGGCTGAGAGGCAGAGGAAGTCACTTGGAACAACAGGACCTTCCCAGCCAACTGAAGGAATCTTTGGTTCTCATCTTAAGGGTTGCCAAACTTGTTTGTCAAGAACAAAATCTCACACCATGTAGAGTTAAGATGACTTCATGTAGCACAATTAAATCTGAGTGCTGGAAATTGCCTCCATTGCCTCTGGTTTAGGGTGCCTCATATAAATTGAAATCCAGCAGGCCAGTTTCTAGAATGATCATACTCCCTTGTTTTAATTAATTATTTAATTAATTAAATTTTTGGTTCTCGGGCCTCAGTCTCCCGAGTGGCTGGGATTACAGGTGTGCGCTACCATGCTCAGGTAATTTTTGTATTTTTTGTAGAGACAGGGTTTCGCCATGTTGGCCAGGCTGGTCTCCTGAGCTCAAGCGATCCACTGACCTCAGCCTGCCAAGCGCTGGGATTATGGGCGTGAGTCACCACGCTCGGCCCCTTGTTTAAAATCTTCCTCTTTCTTCCCCACCCCTTTGCCTGTGGTTTGCACGCTGAATTCCTATCACTCTCAAATTCTTCATGGAGACCTTACTTAAGCAGCCTAGAGTCTGTGGCTTTACCATTAGGGCAACAAGTTTCCAGAATAACCTGGGGAAGATGTTCTTCGGGAGACAGCACTTGTCTTTGTTTTCAAGGTGTTTTATATGCGGTGAAAGATACCATCCTCCTGTTATCTCACTAGATGTAGACAGTTAAAAAGTTTTACAAAATTTTCAGAGATTTCTAACGTGGTTGATTGCACAGAATAATTGGCAGCCCTATTAATGATGTTCTGGTGATCTTCTTTTGCTGTGGTATTAATTTGTTTAGTTCAGTTTTGGGTCAGAAGAAAGACCTCAGTGCTTTGATTCTTAGCTTATTGTGTAATCAAAAGCTTACTTTTAGAAAAAGTCCATTGTAGATTGGCCTTCCTGAGTCTGTAGACACCATATTTGACACAGTGGACAAAATTGTTCAAATAAAATCATTCACTGTTATTTGGGTTATTAATCAGAAAAGAATGCATCAGAGATTTAAAAGAATCGGGTTATAAAAATATTGACTGTGCTTTTGGCTGCTTAGAGATTGGGAGCTCTTAGTAGGGGTACTTAAAAAAAATAAAAAGAGAAAGAGCTTCAGCAGAGGGTAGATTGTAGAGTGAGGGGAGGGGACAGAGCCTGAATGGGGGCCAGACCTCCTAGCATGTGTACTTTCTCTTTCTCACTGTCTTGAGTCCTAGTCCCAAGACCGGGTGAGGTCATCTTCTCCATGTTTAGGAGAGAATAAGAGTCTAGGGGGTTAAGTGATGCTTCCTAGCATGAAGCACAGTGGATAGGTTGGAAGAGAGCAGCACTTCCCTCTGGTAGTGTGTTCTGGGGGACAAGTTTGGCTCTCCATGCAGTTGAGGGAAATCTGAGTAGACCCCCATGGCCACTCCCCATGACCAGTGCCATACTGTACACAGCAGGTGCTCAATAAATGCTGAGAGATGATCTTTGCTGTGAACTGAATTGTGTCTCCTTACAATTCCTATGTTGAAGGCCTAACCCCCAAAGGGATGGTGATTGGAGATGAGGACATTGGGAGCTGAGTAGGTTCAGCGAGGTCCTGAGGGTAGAGCGCTCATGATGGGATGAGCGTCCTTGTAGGAAGAGGCACCAGGGCTGTCTCTTTGTCGTTGTGGGGACACAACAGGAAGCCGACCATCTGCAAGCCAGGAGGAGGCCCTCGCCAGAACCCGGCTGTGCTGGCACCCTGATCTTAGACTCCAGTCTCCAGTACCGTGAGAAAAGACATTTCTGATATTTAAGCCACCCAGTGTGTGGTATTTTGTGGTGGCTGCCCAAGGTGACTAAGACAATCCTTAAAATGCCTTCCAGCTCTAAATTCATCAGTCCTGAGACCAGTGATCATGTGTCCAAATCCCTATCGCTTTTCTCCCCAGTCACTTAATTTGATTGGAGGCTTCTGTGTTGTATTGATGAATGGGACAGAGAGGCCCTGTTGGACTCGAGACTCATGGGCCCATAAAGCCCTGAGAAGAACCATGGGCCACGTGATGTCCTCGGCCAGAGTCCAGACTGCGCATTTGCTCCTCTTGGCCACTCTGAGCCACTCTGCCTGTCTCCAGCCTCCTTTCCCAGCTTTCCCTCTGCACACCATGCTGTTTCTGGAACCCACGGGGCCCTTCCGGATTCCCTGCCTCTGCTAGCCAGCCTCCCTGGAGCAGGTCTCCCTGAATATCCACAGGCAGGACCTCTGTTCTTTCCCCTGCCCCGTTAAAGAAAAGCCAGAGCTGGACAGGAGGTAGAAGGTGAAGACAGTTTCTATTCAGGAACTATCGCAGTAGGGGAAAGAGACCTCAGTATAGAGCTGGGCTTAATTCTGAATACAGCATGGACAAGTGGGGAGGTGCAGCCCAGAAGCAGGGTGGAAGGCTCAGTGGGTGGAAAGTTACTTAGAAGAGACCCCAGGGGCGAGGGGGATTCTGGCTAAACCCACCTTGTTGGAGGCAGACCAGGGTGACCAGACATCAAGGGTGGGGGACAAGGAACCGATCAGATAGCGATGGTGGGAATCTGGAGGCTGAGGCCAGGGCGACCAGACACTGAGGGTGGGGAAACTGATCAGATAGCGGTGGTGGGGGATCCTGGCCAAACGAACTTTGCAGGATTCTTGCTAACACTGGGCAGTGCAGAGACAGACATGGAAATGTAAAGTTGGAGGCCTGGTTGGGATGAGGATCCAGAGGCACCCAACTGGGGTCTCTGCCAGACCTCACGCACCACCCTACTGTGTCAGATCCCAGTTACTGCTTGGCTCATCCTGTGAGCCCTGAACCCTGCAAAGATTTGTCGTCTTTGGTGTGGAACCCCCAGCACCTGGACCCCTGCCTGCCCCAGGGGAGGTGGTCGAAAGAGGCTTCCCGAGGCAGTGGAAGGGCCTGGGATGAAGGGGCGGGGCTCTGCTCCTCCACTGAGAGACAAAATAAAATAAATACAGGTGATTTCTCTTGGTAGCCACGTCACAAGTTCTACTCCTGTGGGTCAGGGCCCGCTCCTCAAAAATTCCTGTGTTAAAGTCCTAACCTGCACGACCTCAGAATGTGACCTTATTTGTGGGTGACAGCTGCAGGTGACACGAGAGCCCTTCCAACAGGGTGTGCTCCTGCCTTCGCCGGTCAGCTGCCAAAGGCGGGCACAGGCTGCTCCTGAGGCTGTGTGGCCAGGGCAGTACCTCACGGAGCTTCCTGTGGCCACAGCAGCAGCAGCGTCTGCGAGCTGGAAAGGGGACGATGAGTGACACTTTTGTCCACCGTTCTTGGTTGGGCCGCCACAAGCAGATGGGAAAGACTGAGAAAGAAACCATTCCTCCCCGGGTGGGGACGCTTGAAATTCCCTTTCAACCAAGGGGAGGCCACAGGCACCCTGTTCATAGCTGCGTGCAGATGTCAGCGCCTGGTTTGTTGGTGACCAGCAAGGGTCCCAGCTGAGCTGGGGCGCTCTCCGGTGGCTCTGGTGGGGCAGCCACAGGATCCCGGAGAGATGGTTCAAACATCGTTTAGATGGAGGAGCCGCTGAAATAGACTTGACAGTTTATTTTGCTTAGTAGAAAAAAAATGAAAAATTATCAGCTACTATCACCATTTTTTAATAAGATTAAAAAGTGTATTTTACAAAAAAAAAAAAAAAGGTAAAAATGAGCAGCTCACCATGTCCCGCTTCTTCCACCCCAGCGCCAATGCCCTCCCTCAGCCGTGGTCCAGCCAGAAGACAAGGTCAGATAAAACAACCGCAAAGATAAAAGAAAAACCTTCTAGAGTGGCTGGGAATGAGGCCACCTTGACATCTTCCCCTGAATCGGTGCCATCGTGGTTTTGAAGTGTGACGGTCACCCAGCTCAGGGGTCCCCGCTATGTGAGCCTGTCCACCACTGTTCACCCTTGGTGGAAGAAGATGGGAGCACCCCAAAACATGACATCCTTATTTTCAGGGACCTCTAACTGAAATTGAGCTCTTCCTTTCTTTATGAATATAGGCACTGTCTTAGTTCTGTGCTGCTGTGGTAACAAAGTGCCTCAAACTGGGTGGCTTAAAACACAGACATTTGCTGTCTCGGGGATCTGGAGGCTGGAAATCCGAGACCAAAGTGTCGCTGAGGTTGGTTCTTCTGAGGCTGTCGGGGAGAATGTACTCCAGGCCCTCCCGCGGGCTCTGGGGGTGGCTGGCTGCCTTTGGCGTTCCTTGGCTGGGAGACGATGCCTCGAACCCTGCCTTCCTCTTCACGCTGTGTTTTCTCTATTTGTGAGTCTGTATCCAAATTTCCCTTAAGGAATACCCGTCATACGGGTTAGGGATCCCCCTAATGACTTCACTGAAACTTAGCGTAGAGCCTGTCTCCAAATAAGGTCGCATTCTGAGGTATTGGTGGCGAGAA